TCTTCTTAAGAGGAAAAGCTCAGATTTCATGACTTCAGAAAAATAAGCTTTGCAAAAGAACAATAAGAGATGATGACAGTGATTTCATTTAATTTGTGCTCTTTCCTCCCTCCTAAGAACTTAAGGTAGCTTAATCAATAGGACAGATACAGTGACAGGGTACATGCTTTGTACACAAAGGGTCCCACGTTCAGTCTCGGCAACACTCAGTAGGTTGCCATATGAAACCCCAAGACTGCTCTGCTACTTAGGCCAGATGCCATCACCACATTCTGTGGCAAGGGGTTCCACAGACCTACAACACGCTGGGTAAAGAAATATTTTCTTTTGTTTGTTCTCACTCTCTCAACACCCAATTTGAGTGGGTGTCCCCTGGTTCTGGTACTATGTGGGGGAAAAGGGTGTCCCTCTATCCACTTTATCCATCCCCTGCATAATTTTATATGCCTCATATAAAATTATGTAGGAATATCATGCCCCCCCTCAAGGTGCCTTTTCGCTAGACTAAAGAACCCCAAACACTGTAGCCTTTCTGCATATGGGAGTTGCTCCAGCCCAGTAATAATTTTAGTCACTCTCTTCTGCATCTTTTCCAGCTCCACTATATGTTCTTATATTCTTTTCTAAAAACTCTGTATTGCCCTCCCCACAGACAGACTATTGATTTTCTAAATCACTTCACATATTGATGAAGAGACCTCTAGTCTAGCACTCAGAAGTGTATGCACCAAAAATGTGCTGGCACAAGTATCAAAAAAGTCTCTGTTGGGGTTTTGTTCTCCTTCTGGAATTGGCTAAGAGGTTCTCAGCTATCTTTCAGGAATGTTTCTACTGGTAATTTATTCTCCACCTTTATGCTTTTAATGCCAATCTTCACCAAAGCCCCACTCATTGTAAAAATATATTAAAATACATTATTCTGTCCAAATCCTCTAAATAAATTCCACTCCCTGATGAAAATATACATAATTTCTATACAATAATATGTGTGCTTTAAAAAAAACACTGCATTGTATTCTTTAAGAGCCAGGTATTGTATCTCATCCTGTACACATATGCAGCAGAAAGGAATTAATCTGGACCATTGTTGAACCTCTTTTGATATGTACGGGCCGCAGGTTGTGCAGACCAAATGCACAATAGAGATGTGCTGAGCACTACCAAAATTGCTCATTTGGGGGATGTTCTTACTCTCACTATAACAAGTCTCCTTGCCAAGATCTCTCCCTATCATTGAGACTTCCCATCTTTCTGTGAAAATGAGATTCCAGTCTTGCCCCTGCTTTCAGTTTTCACCCTTTCTTCTGTACAGGAAACTGTCAAATTCTGGGCAGCTGAATACCTTTTCTGGTGAATCCAGTACAGAAAGGATAACACTCTATACAGGAATTGTAACAATCCTCCCAGTTACCTGGGCAGTAAAGACTGCATTCCCAAACATGTTGACTCACCTAGCAACAGCAACAGTGGAAGGAGAAACAACAACAATCTGAACATCTTTGGAAGGCATCTGGGAAAAAAAATGCAGTGATTTCAGTGTCAACACATTTGTCACCGCAATTAGTTGTGTGTGCACGTGTGTATGCTCACCATACAACCGTAAAGATTGTTTGAGTCTAATGTTAAATTACAGTTGAGGTCTACTAACAACTGCATCATGTTTCCATGTATTCTGGAGTGATGGCAATAATACTGGGGCCATTTGTTTGCAACTTAGATAAACACCCCTACAGAGAACAATAGTTTAGTTAGATAACTTCCCACAGCTATGGCCTGTTTTCTCTTTTGAATTGTGACCCTCTATACTTTACTGCAAACTGCCTCTGGAATTCACAAGGTTTTTAGAAGCAAAGTTTACTGCGGCATCTAAACAAACCTAACGTCATAATAAACAACTTCATCTACAAATGTACATTTTTTTTCAAAAGCTAAGATCAAATCTTGTGCAAAACATTTACAGACCTTGTAAGAAGAAACACATTCAGTAAAGAAATCAGGGCAACAAGTTGATACCATCCAGTCCCAAGCCACCAGAACATTCCTGCAGCTGCCTTCCCTAGAGGAAAACAGACATCTGGGTGAGCTGGGCCTGTACAACAGAATCACTCTGGATAGCAGTTTTCAAACTTTTCAGCTCTCAGGGAAAGTTCTCCATGCAAGTGTATCTGCTGGGGATTGCAAACAGAATCTGGAGCATGTTCTATAGCATGTTTGGGACACATAGCTAATATTCCCACAAGACCTAGGCCCCATCTACAAAGAGAACTGCTACTCAAAGTCTCTGAAACAGAACTTTGATTTTTTTTTTTTTTTGGTTTTGAATCTATTTATTAAAAAACCACAGCCACAGGCAGCAATGCTGGAGGTGCGGGTTTCTAGGAACTGTATTCCAATTCCCCCTAATGTGTATTCTTTAGCACCTGTAAATGGGGTCTGATGGAGGTTATTTCCCTGCTATTTAAATTTACTTCTCTCCAGCTTCTCCTCTTTTTTTGGTACTTTCCTTTGTTAGCACTTAATAATGTAAATCATTAATGGACTATTTAATCTGGGTATATATTTATTATTGCGATTAACCTATTATATGATACTTCAATCTTAGCTATAACTGATAATGATAAAGGTAAAGGTAAAGGTTCCCCTTGACAATTTTTGTCCAGTCGTGTTCGACTCTAGGGGGCGGTGCTCATCCCCGTTTCCAAGCCATAGAGCCAGCGTTTTGTCCGAAGACAACCTTCCGTGGTCACATGGCCAGTGCGACTTAGACACGGAACGCTGTTACCTTCCCACCGAGGTGGTCCCTATTAATCTACTTGCATTTACATGCTTTCGAACCGCTAGGTTGGCGGGAGCTGGGACAAACGACGGGCGCTCACTCCGTCGTGTGGATTCGATCTTACGACTGCTTGGTCTTCTGACCTTGCAGCACAGGCTTCTGCGGTTTAGCCCACAGCGCCACCACGTCCCTAACTGATAATGAACTATTTGACAATGTTGTTCTTGATTATTTAAATTTTCTTATATAAATATCATTCTGAATGAGGCTGTGCCACTAAAATCATGGAGATAAAATGAGATGACAAGGACTAGGTATGCTTAGTTTTACTGTGGTCCTGTGCCAGTTTATGTGCATTCTGGGCTGCAACTTAACACTCTTCTGCAATTGCACATTTCAAGGCTTGATCTGTCACAAGACAGATTTAGTTACTATTACTGAGGGTGCTTTTTTTTTTGTCATGGACCTAATTCCCTGGAACACTAACACTCTTCTGCAATTGCACATTTCAAGGCTTGACCTGTCACAAGACAGATTTACTTACTATTACTGAGGGTGGTTTTTTTTTGTTTTTTGTTTTGTCACGGACCTAATTCCCTGGAACACAGTTTGAAGACCACTGGCTTAGGAGGAAGCCAAACATGCACACAAAAACATTGCAGAAAGAATATTGTAGGAACAGAGAATTCTGGAGCAAATGGATACCAGCAAGTTATTACATACATGCAACTTTTAAAATGTCATTTCAAGAGACCTTCACATCATGCTCTATGGCCAAGACCCAGTGGTGTACATTGTTATCCAGTACTTAACAGAAACAAGTCATCCTTCCCACCCCACCCACTATAGTGTACAGTGCCAAAACCATGCTCCTAGCCCTGATCTGCAGGAAGAAGCAGGGAGATTATTCACTCTGTGGTAGCAGCAATAGGATCTGGTGGAAGTGCACCACTGCATTTTGACCTTATTAGTGAGCTTGATTCACACACACAAATCAATGTACAAAGTCATGCAATAAGGAGTTTAGTAAAGCAGCAGATCTGGTTTAACTGGAAAGAATGACTCTTGTATGTTAAAGCTGCGTTCACAGTCGCTCAGTTGATGAAAACCCTACAAAGGTAAGAGGAAGCAAGATGCCCAAGATGACATGGTCACTCAGTTGATGAAAACCCTACAAAGAGGAAGCAAGATGCCCAAGATGACATGGAATTACAGGGTGCCTGCCCTCCCAGAGCTCTCCAACAGCTGCCATCTGCTCTTTCATCACTAGACCAATTTGCCCAGAAATACTGGAAGCAGACATGTTACATAAGGTATGCCGAGCTATTAAAAACTGTATACACAGATACTACAGATTACAGCACTAAGTAATGACAGAAAAAACCCAAGGCTGCTTAAAATAAGACACATTTCCATGTGGCAACATGGAAGAGCACACTCATGGATCTGTGAGAAGTACTTTCATCTATATGCAACTTTTATCGTCTGTTCTCCAATTAGAAGTTACAGACTTTCAGGATCTAGGCAGGCAGAGCTGGGTTGGGCAATGGGATCAACTTCATAACCAGAAATAATCAGCCAGGACAGAGGATGTTTTAGTTTCTGCAGAAGTGTGGAGAGAAGACTGACATGTAAAAAAAAATTATGCCAACCCTTTGCTTAGGGCAGCTTCAGGCCTGGGGTAAATACAGGATAAGGTGGAAAACATGAGGCCTGAATGCCACGTATGGCTCCCTGGCTCTTTTTCATGTCCTGGAAGCATACCCCATGGGGCAGTGAAGGAGGGGGGAAAATGATGCCCCTTGAGTAGCAACTGTCCTTTCAGGACAGTTTTCTTGTGCCCTCTGCTAACTTAAAACTTTAAAAAGGCTTCTCTCTTCTCACAATTGGCAATTCTGGCAACATCCAGTTTCATGTATATGTGTGTAAAGATTACTGCAGTCCCTGATAGCGCCTGGGAGCTTGTCCACCTGATACAAATAGAACTAGAAAGAAATTGGTGGTTCACATGGCTCTCTATAGAGGAGATTCTTTCCACAGGTTCCTGCCCATTGGCTTGATGGGTCTCTGCTCCTGTCCCCAAATCAGTTGTCTGGATGGTGCAAGGAAGCCCCATGTTGCTTAACACAGTGCTCCATGTGTAAAAAGCTTGTAATATCTGAAGCAGCTCTAAACTTCATTAGTTTAGCTTAATCTGCCAATCCCGCCTACTCTAAAATGCAAGAATGATCCAAAATGCAGATTAGTCATGCAAAAGCACTAAGACACACACAGACAAACAATAGTAACCTGGAGACACAACAGCCAGCCAAAGGAGTGACAAAACCTTCCTGGAAACAAACCATCCTGCTGTTCCCATTCTTTGCAACATATGTAGCAAGAAGTAACCTAGTACAATACAGATGAATATGAACACAGAAAACAGGAACCATTTTCAATTAAAACCAACATGGTACATTCTCTACACTTGAAATCCATATACAGAATAAAACTTTGGAACCACAACAGAGACAAATGAGAGTTAACAAGACATCATAAACTAACATTCACTCTGATAGTTCTATAGGGCTCTACTTTCAAGAGATTTACCAAATTGTGTTAAAAATGACAGGTCTTGAGAAAGAAAACTATTTCAGCGAAGGAGTACTATGACAAAGCAGCTTACTAAAATAGCTACAAAACCATTTTAAAGGCAAACCTCAGTTTGATATTGAGTCAACAATAGCAATCTATAAAGAGACAGTTTTAGCACAAATGTTTCAGATGGATAGAATTGTTGAGACAGAGTAAGGTGATAAGCTGTCAAAACCAGAGATGAATGTTTATGGCCCATTAAACTTCTTGAGGGGACTGAGTTCAGGGTTCATAATCATCCTACCCTTCTTACTACTCAGTATACAGGAGCATCTCACTAGTAGAATGAGTCCTCTATCTATACTTAGTAACCTACCATATCATGTGTTCTAAATTTTTCAAGAAGTCTTGAGTTGGGCTTGGGCAGGAATAAACGGAACTTGGAGAAAATTCTTCAAATTAATTCCTATCCTAACTTTTAAGATTTCCGCTATTTTGATTCTTAAAATGCAAACAATATTATTTGATGTTCTTGTATGAAACAATCACAGTAATTTTCAGCTATTCTATATGGCTAGTTGTTTAATCATATGAAAAATTAGCTCACAAATTTCTCATTGTTTTAAGATCAACAGATTAATGAGTCAGCATTGCCAAACTCTGTGTGCGAGTCAGGTAGTTACTTCTTTTCGTATCATTTTTTTAAAAAAAGTAGTACCTTGCCATGTGATTTGATGAAACAAAACCTGGAGAGGGGGCAGAATATGGGTGTAAAAAATTATTCTTAGAGTGGCCCTTTACACACATGCTCATAGATTTGATGCCCATAGACATTAAAGAGAACAACAGCCACTACCTCATTATCTTTTTGTGTTCATCTCATCTACGCATTTGCCAGAATCCTGTTGGTAAGTGCAGAATGTAACGGCTCTGTGGCCAGAGCACTCCACATTTGCCTCAGTGAACTCCAACTTGCAAGTATGCAACCAGGAGGAGGATGCCTCATTGGAAACCAACGGCATTTCTGCTTGCATGAGGGCTTAATGGACTCTCATGTGTAAGTGATGAGAAACGAGGTCGGGCATGTGGGACTAACTATTCTGCACATGGTGCACAGGATAAGGACAACTCTGTTTCTAGGGCCAATATACAGTTGGTGTACTTCAGTATCTAACACTATGTTGTTCTCCTTTCTGGTGCAGCGCTGCAGCACACAAAAAGCCTGCTCCAGAGTTGTTTCCAGCTTTCCAGAACAGGGTTTCATGGCCTGGGATGGAGACGTCAGGAGGAAGGAGGGATTGCTGATTCCAGCAAAGAAGTAGGATGCCATGGAGATACATAATTGGATTCTGGTCCAGATATAAGGCTAAAAAAGTTAGGGCACACATCTAGTTACCTGGTGTGGTGCATTAAGCCTTAAAAGTTATGTAAAGGTCATTTAGTCTTATGTACACTTTTCAGGGAGTAAGCCCCCTTGAATGCAGTGAGACTTGCTTCCAAATAAAAACATATCTAGCATTTTGTACTGTCCTTACATTAGCGAGAAGGTACTGGGGACAAAGAAGCCATGGTCATGAATGGGCTCAGAATAAAAGTAGCCATGCATGTAGGTTAATGAAGTTCATATACCTGTGTTTAGCATCCTGACCTGAATCTCAGGATTCCCTTTCTATAAGAGATATAACAGTGTGCTTCAATGATGTGTTGAAAGTCACTCCAAAGTGGCTCCATTTGTTATTTTATCCTGTTTTTCATGGTTTGGATGTACTGCTTGACAACAAGACTGTCTCTGTTGTATTCTTCACTGAAATGGACTAACACCTGCCTCCTTCAGAACAAAACATCTCTTTTGGTTCCCCCCCCCGCCCTTGTTTTATTAACTAACTTCGCTGTTAGTAAAGTAAAACAGTAGCTGAAATCCGAGGCTATTATCAACATAAAAGGTATCTGAGATTGGTAGGAGAGGTATGAATTTCTTTCCCACTCCCTTAATGGAACTCCTAATACGAAGATGAAATGACTATTATCAATTTGTTTCTGACAGGAACATTTCAATTTCTATATTAACAGACACACTCTTCCCAAGATTCTCCTTTTCCATCTAAAACAGTCTATTTTTATCACTATAATAAGCTATAGTGCTCAGCTTTTCTGACGTTCCTGTGACATCTGCAGAATGGGGATTAATTGTGCCAAGCTCCCTTTGTGAGAGGGGTCAACCTAAAATCATAGCAGGAGGTGATGGGCATTGCTGACTGAGTCACTATTCTTAAGAGGTCGCCGCTGCAACAGTCAGTCTAATCTACTTTACAGGGAAGTACTAAGAAAAGCAGTCAGAGTGTTTAATGATACAGAGATTGCGATGGTAATGAAGAAGCAAAAGAAATTAAAACACAAAGAAATTAAAAAGGTGCAAGTCAACCTGCGGAAGAAAAGATGTGCCAAATGGTCCTTGCTACCCTTTTAGACCTTGAGGATTGCATGTGGGCTGTTGTGTGTGTTTCAAGGTGTTTCTTCCCCTTACAGTCATCACCTGTTGGTTGTGGTAACAATGAATTAATATAAACACATTCACCAGTAAAATACACAAACAAGACAGCAGTGCGCCAGAGACACCACAAACAGTTATTTTCAAAATGACTCTCTAGTCCGAGATAGCTATACATTCTGTCTCAACAGTTCAGTTCTGTACCAGAGGCTACAAGGGCTACAGTGCAAAAGGAACCTGCCTGAACCCTTCAGGAGTCTGCTGGGTTTTCACATTCTGTATAGAGATAGGAGCAGTCAACAAAACAGTGGGTTTTCACATTCTGTATAGAGATAGGAGCAGTCAACAAAACAGTGGAGGCAAGACAGGGAGTCTTTCCTGTACATACATGTCACTAATCATAGCACAGAAAAGGGGCCATGCTGCCTGGGTATTTCTGAAGATGTAGTCCAAAAATGCAACTTTTCTAAGCTCTGCTATTAATATCTGCTGCCTGTAACATTTGAGACACCCCTATTCTGAGTCATCACTGCTGTAGCCGATGGTTGAAATTAAATTCCATAGATAAGTGCATCTATAAAGGTAACTAATGAAGTATAGGCAGTGATAGAGCATACAAACTGGAGCTTCCTCTGAGTGCAGGATGATGAATGACGGACAACATGCAATGCTTTTCCAGCCTCTACAAAACTTTGGACAACTGCTGTATCATCCAGATTTCCAACTCAAGTTCCACAAAATAAGATAAAAATTTAAACCATACTTACACAAGGATTCCCCATTCATGCCCAGGTGGGCATCTTCCCTGAGAAATTCTTTTACATTCATGCTTCCACAGTAATCAGAGTGAGCTGCAACACAGAAGGGAGGGGTGGAAACAAGAACAGAGATTTTCACATGCTGTGTGTGTGTTTGTGTGTGTGGGGGAGAGAAGATGAAACCCAAAGGACTTCTCTGTGTATGCCCAACCACTTGTGTAGGTGCAGTGTAATTTTTCAGTTTTTTTCTTCTTTCGCTTTCAGGGCAAATTGTAAAAATAGCTTCCTAGGCCAGTGCTCAGGGAAGGTGGGAAAAAGAACAGCAGAGGTTTTCTGGAATGGGTGGTTGGTACGGATGAAGGTGGTTCAAAGCCTAAAGCCCCTGTGGGTATGAATATTTAAAATCTTGCTGTTCTCTAAACTGCCCAGTCTAAATGGTAATCCTATTTGTACACGACAAGTGAATAATTCTCTTTGTTTAGAAAGCCAAGGTGGTCCTCTGAAGCCTGATCAGAGGCATGCTTATAGGCGTCTTGGTTAGGATGAATTCATGTTTCCCCTTCAAAATTTTTGGAGGGAACATTTATGAATGGTATTGTACTTTGCTGTGTAATACTGCATCCTGATATTTTGTTTATTTCTAAGAACATTTTATTTATTGGATGCTTTTTCTTGCTAATATTTACTTTGCTAGATATTTTCTAAGGAAGATCAGACTTTACATGAGTCCTTTTCCACCAACAGAAACCAAAGGACACAAGAGTTGGTTTCACTTTTTTAGGCTCTTCCACATGGGAGACTCATTCTCCTTAATGTACTATGCTCTACACTAGTAGAGATGGGGGTTTTCGTATGCAAATAGCCCCGTACAGGTGGACATAATGAGGGTACGGCCCTCTGGGGCCAGATTGTCCACTCACCTGCTCACTGCAGCTGCGGGCTCCGCGGTCCTTCCAGCTTCCTCCAATCGCTCCGGAGCTCCCGGTCGACTAGCCACTGACCAGCCTGGCAGGGAGGTTTGTCTTCCCTCCTCCTGCCAAGAGTGGCTAGTTGACCATGAGCTCTGGAGTGACTGGAGAGAGTGTGGAGCATGTGGCAGCAACGGACGAGTGAGTGGACAGTACTCGTTATGTCTACCTGTGCAGGGGTATTCGTACCTGTGCCATCAGTATTTTTCTTGCCCTCCACACAACATTACTTTTATCTTGCTTAATACAGTGACTTTTTCCATACCATTCTGTACCCTTTTCTCTCTCCTGAAAGCATGGTTTATTTTTGGTATTGCTTTAATCCAGGGGGCATATTTAGTTATGCAGCTCTTTCTGTTTGAAGTCAATGTCCAGAGAGAAGTAAGCTTTCAATAAGCACTCAAACAACATCAGCAATGAAAGCTCTAGCACAGGAAAACTCTTAAATACACATTTCTTTAAAGATCTCTTAAAGTTTTCCTAAGAAGAAATGGTTTTCTTAAAGAGCAGAGAGGCAGCCATTTAAAGCGAAATTTGGATGTGAATTGCAGTAAGCTTTGCATTCTTTCACGACCAAGCAAGAAAAAGGGGAGCAAAACTTTTGCCATATCTGGAAGAGTCCTTTATTTTGAAAGAGTGACAGAAAACTTGTATAGGCCTATATTTCCTATACCCCAAATGAATACCCCAAATACACCTTAATGGAAAAAGGCAATTAATACAACCACAGATTAGTGCCGGAATCCAAAGAATTTCCCAATGGCCTGACCACTGCTGGTGGAATCTTCAAGTCACTAAGCTTTGGGAAGGGCTGTAACTCGTTTTGTAGAGCATCTGTTCTAGCCTATCCACAGCATCTCCAGGAAGAGAATCTTGACTAAAGCCCTGAATACTGCTAGTCAGTAATGATAAAACTAGCTTAGACAGATCAAAGTCTGACATGATATAAGGCAGCTTTCTGTGTCACAGCTATTGTATTATACATTAAAAAAATTCAAAAAAAGTTTCTCATATGGCTCAGGGGAAGGTTGTGATTTGAAAAACACAATTTCAAAATTCTCTTAGGCATGTTATATATGGTTGCTTGGATCTAGGCCTAATGTACTCATGAAACATTCCACAATAGATTCATGAGTTTGTTGCAGGAATTGTAAGAAATCCCAGTACCTTTAGGCACATATTTGTATAATGTACATGGTTGAAAATACACACTTGTGATATCCAAACATTATATTTTTTGCCATTCATGAAAAACTTAGAACCATGGTTACTGGGCACTTTAAAAATTGAAAAAGATAAAATAGGTTAATGAGTTAAATGCACACATCTTAAAAATATAGACTGTGGTTAGTTGTACTTTAATGCCGATATGCATAGCTGATCAGAGCAATCAAGTAAATTTCAAGTACAGCATACAAACATGAAAGAAAAAAAAACCTCTAAAGATTTAATGTCTGAGAGAATGGGGTTTATCTATAATGCAACCAGCACAATCCAGTTTCATGAACAAAGTTAACTATTCATTTAAAAAACTGCATCATCCATGCCATTTCAAGGTAGGAAAAAAGAGGAAAAAAAATCACACACCAGTATATCAAACCTATATATACTGATGATTCCAAGGAAAGAGGTATAAGGTGGGCAAGTGAATGCAAGAAAGAAGTCAGAGCTATTACTATGGAAATTGTCCAGCAAAACAGAAAAAGCTGCCCAGTGAGAAAGATGCCCACACACCAAAAGCACAGATATTTATTATTTTCAGTGTTTGTCATGGATGGACAGAGAAGACAATCTTAAAACAAAAGGTACCTTTACAATCATAGCCCAGCTTCAGCAAGATTATTTGGAATAGCTGCACTATGAGTGATGTAAAAGATGTTGTGGTATGCTTGGCCATTCGCAGAATCTTATTTGTGTAGAAAGGGAGGCCCCCTATTAAAAGAGCATTAAAACAACATTATTTTCTTCCATTCTCTATTGACCGACACAAAGAAAGGCAACTTAATCCAGTTTGGTCTAGTACTGTATGTTTGTTCTTTCCCTGCTAGCATGAAATTCACATACGCAATGGGCAGTCACTGCCTCAGTCACACACACACACACAAATCTTTGTCACCTTCTCAGGAAGACTAGGAAATATGTTTATTATTCTGCCAAGTGGATGACATACTTGTCGGATGTAAATACCAACTGCAGAGCAAAAGGCAGCACAGTATTTCCTGCACCTTAATCTTTCTGAAAAATATACCAGTTTACAGTCTTCATTTTGCCATGCTACTAAAATAAGCACACATTCTAATGAGTTTGTGTGAAAATCTTCTTGTTCAGTGTTCAAATCACAGTAACACAGGACTCTCAGCTAACTGCAACAACAGCAGCAGCAACATGCCATAAAGTGAATTCTGGTGTATGGTAACCTTGGCTCGTTTTCTAGGTACAGAATAAGTGATTTCCCATTCCCCTCTTTTGGCAATGGGCAACAAAGTCTTCTCTTCCCCTGAAAGGCACACTGAGGAACTGAAATCTTGATCTCTGACTCTACAGCCAGGTACCCAACTCATTGAACTATATAACCAGCTTCTCAGCTTCTGCCTTTGTCATATACTCAAACAAGCAGGAAGCACAGCTACTTCCAAGTTGAGGCAATCAAGATTACTGAAACATCTAATCAATTAAATCTATTCTTACAGAGGCTGTTATCTACCAAAGAACTGCAAGAGACCAGAGGAGTGCAGAAAGCTGTGTCAGACACAATCTTCTGGGAAAGTACTACTGCCGATCAGGCACTTCAGAATCAAGAGCTCTTTTAACTGTCCCTCCTTTTTAAAATCCTCCTTTGTGCAAGTTATACTGTGCATTAAACTGACTTCAACTTCTCTTCATAACTCACTTTGATGTGACCCTGAAGTAACCTTGGATGCCTACAAGTACAGCTTATGCAAAGAAAGCCAATTCTAAAAAGCCTCTCTGAACGAAGTGACCAGATATCCTCCTCAAATGGATGCATGCAAGAGAAGGTGACCATATGCATCCATGGTAGAAGGGAAACTAGCTATCCAGAGATTCTACCAGGTTGGAGAAATACATGTCTATTTCTATTGTGCAAGTATCTCCAAGATGATGCTTTGATCTCTCTATTCCCCATTAAAAAGTATACCTAAAGGGGATCAACAACATATAAAAACCTTCTCTATGCTAGAAATAATCACAGATAAAACACCACAAGAATGTTCTAACAAATTACAAATTCTCCAGCATTTAAGAGTAAACTCATATTTTTCCTGTAGTAATTTCAGAGATGACTATTGATTCCAGGGGGGAGGGAGAGCAATATAGTTATCATCAACAACTGCAAAGGAAGATTACGGAGCAATATAGCTTAAAGATGAAAGAAACAACAAGTGGATTTCTCTTTAGCTATCCTTTCGAACACAGCAGCTATGCACAGTGCAATTTTGAAGCCAGAACAAAGACCTCACATAAGTAACAAAAATGGTTTTGCCAAGTGAAGTTTAAAAACATGCTATCCGCATCATCGTAACATTTTATTCTTGCATTGTTTCTTATCATCAACAACTGCAAAGGAAGATTACAAAATGACTTACTGGACTTGTGTTTTTGGCTTCTGTCCCTGGAATAAATTCTGGAGGATAGCATATGAGGAGTTGAGTATGTTGTAAGGACCTCCTTCCGCTCAGAAAGCATACTGCAGTCATTGCACGTATAGCCGTTGCTCGGTGCACTCTGGTTTTCAGCTGCTGTTATGTCCCCATTGGCCTGAATCACTGTAGTACCTTCACCTGTTGAATTGCAATAGGTGACCTAACAGACTAAATTCAATGAATTGGGGACAGAATCTATCTGAATAATAATAATAAAAAGAACAGTCCTGTTACCTTTGAGATCACCGTCATCATCCAGACCTAAAAATGAAAGAAATTATTTGTTTGAATTCAAGTAGGAACATCTTCCCCAGATGTTGTTAACAAGCAGAACTCTGAAGAACTTTACTACGCACAAGACAATTTAAAATAAGAACAACCATTTGTGTAATCTACCAAACTGGGTTCCATTTCTAGGTGGAAGCAACAAAAACCTGTCTTTTTAATTACCACATGACTACTGAAGAGGCCAAAGAACTGGAAACACACAATGTTTCTGTTGCTTGGTTACCACTTCTTTTGCTCTACCAATAGCTCAACACAGAGCAGTAAAACAAGGCTGATAATGCAAAAACCAACAATTAAAATGCAGTACTATAAGTTAAGGCAGGTTTCTTCAACCTGAACAAATGGAGGCCTACAACTAGGCTAGTTAAGTAGCACACAGGCTAGAAACTACGACAGCACCTTTTAATGCTCACTCTGGATCAAGTTCTTCTCTGAGAGCAGTGCTGCTTTTTTGGGTGTCCAGTCCTGTCCTCCTTACATCACAGTAAGTAGAAATCTGGCCTGAACAGAGTCAGACCTTGAGTCAGAGGATTAATAGGAATGGGGAAAAAAGCCTTACATGTTTCACAGTTTATCTCCCTGTGTTTCATAATGTCACAGATACTTTTAAACATACATAGTCCCTTTCGACCTCCAAAGAGATGATATTCTCAAGGCAGCCTAACCAAAGGCTTTGTCTTAAATCTGTTCTTGTCAATTTACAGTGACAAAGTAATGACCTGCTCCAGTTGGAAATTAATGAGCTTGTTCTACAAATCTAGCAATCCCTACACAGCATGCCTCCTTGAGAGGAAATGGGACGTAAGCTGCTTTATAGGCATCTTCTGTCCCTCCATTTCCCTCTTGTAATTTTCCAGACACCTGGCCATTTTTAAAAAAAATGTCAATTGTAGTACAGGTAATTCTTCTATGACTGCCCAAGTATTTAATGTTCACATTCATCTTGATTGGTTGATACTTGGATAAGAGACCACCACATAATACCAGGCATCTCCAGAAAGGCCTGGAAATAATCTCACATGAAACCCTGGAGAGTTGCTACCAGTCAGAGAAGGGAGAACTGACTTAAATATACTGATATTCTAACTTCTATAAGGCAGCATACTATGTTCCTGTAAGACATATATATAATGCAACAGATATAATTTGAGGCATCATGTTTTGTGGGAGAAAGACGTGGGAATACCACTAAGGTAGTGCTTGCCACCTGCAGCGCATATATTAAGTCAGATCACTGACCCATCTAACTTACTACTGTTGTAGTTCTGTGTCTTTAGAACTGACATACAGCAACCCTACTATGGCTTTCAAGGTAAGTGAGATATTTAAGGAGTAATTTTTCCAATTCCACACCCCCAGTGAATTTCTGCTATACAGTAATCCTGCAGTACTGCACCTAGTACTCTTTCCTAGCCTTATCAAGAGAGGCCAAGGACTGAAAGAGTAACTTTCTGGATGCAGGGCATGCACTCTTCCATTGAGCTATACTGCCGTTCTCTGTCATATTAATATCTGCTTCTGAAAAAGCAGGCATGCAATAAGACAAGATTTACAGACCCTTTGGACATACATGTCTAACTGAATCTTAACTGAAAAAGTTACTATTTTGGACTTTATCTCCCAGAATTCCCCCTTGCTAGTTGGGGAATGTTGGGGGCTACAGTCTAATACAACATTTTTCCCAACCTCTGGCTGCACTGCTAAGCAAAGATTAGTTGTGATCTCAATGCACAATGCCTTCTTCTTTATTCTCTTTTATCATGCATACCAACCCCCACCATTTCAACTTAGAACCATCAGAATAGATGCTTTTAAGTACTGTATGTTAAAGAGGATGTATAGATTAGTTTGCTGCTGCTTACCCCAGAAGTGGTCAACAGCTGTCTGCTCCTGTATTGAAGACTCATCCAACAAAATTGACATAACGGATCCATCACTTGTGTGGCTACTGAAACTACTGTGGCTAAAAATGGAAGAGCTGGGCACATTTTTTCTTGAGGTGTGTCTTACAGAGCCAGACTGCTTCACCACATTTCTACGTTGTTTTGTAATTCTTAAAGAAAAATAAATATTAAAGGAGTAAGTATGCAAATTTCAATAAAAGCTTAGACATATAATAATACAGTGGTGCCTCGCAAGACAAAATTAATCCGTTCCACAGTTAATGCTGTTTAGCGAAAATTTCATCTTGCAAAGCACATTTTCCCATAGGAATGCATTGAAATTTAATTAATGTGTTCCTATGGGAAAAGTCAGCAACCAAAAAAAGTCACTTGCCAGGTACAGTAGACCGAGCTCCTCTCCTCACAGTGCCTTGATAGCCCCAGAACAGCTGGACTCTGTGTGAGCAGAGCACCCAACAGCTGAGAGTCGGCAACCAGCAGAGAGGTGGCAGCCATTTTGAGAGGCAGCAGCCATGTGGTCGCCTCTCAAAATGCCTGCTGCATTTCTGCTGGTTGCCGCCTCTCAGCTGTTGGGCGCTCTGCTCAGAGTCCGGTTGTTCCGGCTACCAAGGCACTGTGAGGAGCGGGGCTCAGTCTACTGTATCTGGTAAGTGACTTTTTTCTGACTTTTTTTGGTTACTGACTCCCCCCCCCTAGGAACGCATTAATTAAATTTCAATGCATTCCTATGGGAAACCCGCCTCACAAGACGAAAAATATCGCAAGACGAGGCACCAAAAAACTCACAAAACCCGCTCATCTTTCGTCCCGCAAGACACCACTGTATTTAAAAAGGGACTTTAAAAAGTATACCTCTTTCCACATCAAATCTTAAACATTTTTGAACTCAGTCAGCATCACTGAAGAATTATGACTTAAAAACATGAAAGAGGGCAGGAACACAAAGCAGTTTTTGGCTAATGGCAAATAAGCAGCAAGACTGAAATGCCTTTGATTGAGACTGCTGTAAGCTTGCGTAAATTAATAATATTGACTTATACAAAAACAAGAAAATCTAAACAATAGTAAGTTTACAGACTGAAGGTAACATGCAAAAAGAAACAGAAGAATGTTTAGAATTTCATGTTACACAGCGTTTTAATATACATGTTGTATGTAAGAAAGTTTCCCCCTCATGACTGCAATCAATAGGTCATAAAATCAAAGCTAGGCACCAGGCAGACTGTATGTATGGCTATTCTGAAACCATCTGGCTTTATCTTAATTTTATAACCTTGCTTAATAAAGAGCTCTTAAGCAACAAACACTAAAATCCATTGTTTTACAATGAGGTTGGGAAAAGTTTTGTTTTTAATTTAACTACATTTCTCAGAATCCCCTAGCTACTATGGCCAGGGAGAAGTAGCTCCCCAAGTTAAGTTTCCCAAGCTTTTATTCTATATAACACCTGATGTACATGAGCCCCATCCTCAGAGAGATTTGTAAAGCAAATCACATTCACTTCTACTATGAATAAACTTAAATTGTTGCAAGCAGTGGGACTGTTCTTTGCCTGCCAGACATCCAATTAGATGCACCAAGTTTCAAAAGAATTTTTTTTATTTTAGGGAAATCAGCAGCCTCACCATGCTTTTCAATGCTATACAGAAATACAAACAGAAACAAGAACATGTACTTCATGCTGAACTAGACAAAAGGTAAAAGAATGGTAATGGTACGTGGATAATTTGTGTTATATAGATATCAAAAGAAATGCTTACTTTGGTGACTGTTCTACAAAAGCTTTCTTCCCTGCATAGGAGCTACTGCTGCTGCCACTGACATAGATGTTTTCATTTTGGGTATCCTTGGCTGTACTATAGACTGAAGCGGAAGAACGTAGGCTTCGCCGTGACATTCTTGGGGAATCAAAAACAGGATCCAATTTGTTTTCCGTCTCAAAAGCCAGAGCAGTTGAGGAGTAACTTGAACTGTAACAAAACAAAAAAGAAAAATATTTGCATATCTGTAGCATAATCTGCCATTCTGTATCTCAAGAGGGAGATAGGAACACACTCAGTTAGGGTTGTGATATCTGTATCAGCTTTCTGACTGGTTTCAGATTTAAATTCAGACTGTCAGATTCAACCTGCTGGTCCTTAATCTTGGAAGTCCTCTGTAATTTGAGATCTGCCTGACTCAGACAGTGCCCTCTCTCTTATCTGAGCTCACTGCTGAGGTAGCTATGCTTATTATCATGTTGGGCAGGGCAACTTGCAATGCTTCAGATGTTGTTCAGCTGAAATTCCCATTAGCTCAAGCCAGTACAGTTAATGGTGGGGGATGATGAGATATTCCATCAACAGCTGATAATTGGCTTAACTGATTGGGCAAATGAAGTCAAAGACAAGGCAGAGTAGACCACTTCTGTCTATAGCCCTGTGATTCTGAAATAAACATCTTGAAAGAGTGTCACCATGCCACTCTATTAATCTCTGCAAAGAAGTGGGAAATAGAATAAGTTCAGAAAGGATCAAGTTGGCCCATGCACATTAGCACATATTTTAAGAAGTCTATGGATAATTACAGACCAAACTACATGTCAGAGCAGATTAAGTGTAGTTTTCAAAATGACCTTTCATCTCTCTCCTGCAACATGAAGCCTGAGTTTGGACTTCTCAACAAGCCACAACTGTATATTACCATGAAGAAGTAAGTATGCTTAATAAGCAAATCATGCACTTAATGGTAAACAAATGATTGCCAGGACTGTGATATACTGAACCATGCATATTTATTTGAGGAGATAAATGTGTAGGTTATTTATAGTAAGCCAGACTTCTCAAGAGTTTTAGTGTACCTTGATATCTAAAAGCACCCATATGCATCACTATTTCAGTCATTTTCTACCTATATTGTGTGTCACACCATTTTTTAAACCCAAACATGTTCCTGCTGGAATATTCAGTCTAGGCCCTAGAGCAGATAACTGATCTAGTCATAAAAAGTCATTTATGAAAACCTAGCTATTTTATGGAGAAATTGAAATTATTGTAAGAATAAGCTTTTAAATATCCAGACCAGTATCTTGTTAGGATTTACGGCTTTTGGACTGGAGGTTGCAAAAGTGGTCACAAGTACGTATTTGGAGACAGCCAGTCATGTGAACAGGCACACAATTGGTTTCTCTAAATAACTGGGGTTGTATTTATTCTCCATGGAGTAAATCTAAACAGGATACTGGTCCTTGTGTGAATTATGCAAAATTAAAGTAACATTGTAAGTTTTCAGAGATGGAAAGAAGTCTAGCAGGAAAACACATACTATGTTACCATTAGCGGCTCAGTGGAAGGAACAGAAATTGGTTTTATGTCCAGCTTCTTTCCTTGTCAACAGGAAGCGATTCTCACTTGCCTAGAAAAATTTCCCACTGGTAACCAGATTGCCTCTCCCAATACAGATCATTTTATTACAGGCAAGAGGAAAATTATCTTTACTATTTATTGTCTGGTAATCAAGAATGGTACAGAAAAGTGGGCCCTTTTATTGAGAAAGGCAGGGTAAAATATAAACAAACAAACTAATAAAAAGGGTTTTTTAGAGAACAAGTGCTATACATTACTCTAGTTCAATAAGCCCTACCACTTTCCCTAAAAAATCATGATCCGTGAAAACCTACTCAGGCAGCACTCATATTTGGCCTCCCATTCTTTCTCTTTCTTTCCTTGAGCGACTGGTAATCTACTGACCCCCTCTGACAATACTGTATTGCGGTCTTCCTAGCTGGTATACCTGCCTGTAATTATACTACAGGATGATCCATTGAGATAGCGCAAATGGGCACACTAATAAAAAGCTGCAAACAAGAAGTGTAGCCAAGATAGGGAAAATCTCCACCTTACTATTTGTACACATACACTACAAAATAGCAGTAGATGTCCCAGTGTTGGCTTTTAGTTCTATTATATCTGCTATGGAAACTTGTGGAGGGACCCATCCTCCTGATATGCCTATATGAATGAAAATAGGAAAAACTGCCACATCACTTTCAAATACAGTATCGTGTACATTCATGGACCTGTGTATGTAAAACACTGTGGGAATAACTTCCATATGTGCAAGTTCTACAGCTGATTTCTAAAAGGTTTTTGCAGAACTGTACTGTGAAGAAAAACTCATGTTAGATACTCTCTCTTCTCATCTACGTGTCGGAAGTATAAACGTTTACTGCCATCTGGAATCAAGTAAAGTCACTAACATATTTTTGAGGTTAGGGGTACTGCTTTTGCTTTCATGACTTTTCACACAGCATGTTTGTTCATTAGCAGCATTCACATTTTAATTACTGTTGGTCATTCATGCATAATGCAGTCTTTCTGATCATTACTCACTGATTTACATAAGCACTCTGTGAGGTATGTCACTAATATTTCTTTTTTACAGAAGGAAATGTGCAGTTGTGAGGTAATAATTGCTCAAGACTACCTGGTAATTCCATTCTAGATTGAGTCACAAAATAAAGCCAAAAAGGTAATAGCCAATATTCTCTCCATTAAAATAATAAACTACAGGTAAGAAACAGTATTTAGAACATGCTGCAAAGGTTAAAAAATGAACCACTCTATTATAGGTTTGTACTTAATACTAGTGCTTTGGCTAGACTGAATCAGCAGTCTTCAACTAATGCAGGACTCCTCAAAACTGAGAAACTTCCAACCCAGATGATTCAAACTTTTACACAAAATTAGTAAATTGCAGCATCTCAGCACATGTATAATGCATGGACTGGTAATAAAGCAGCTGCATGCATGACTATCCCACGTTTTTCCTGTACATTTGTTCAGAATTAATCTTTACAAGAATTCAAAAGTTGCATTAGTAATTAGTACAGAACGCAAATCCATTATCATTAAAGATAGCAATGAAAATTAACTAACAGTGAAGTTGTGTCATTGTCACTGTTTAGCAACACTGATAAACATTCATCAAACAGCAAGATAATTGTACTGTATTAAGTTATTTTAACGTCCTTTAAACATGTACAAACCAAAACAATGGCAGCTGGGTGTGGTTCTGGAACTCTTTACTAATAGTGAGTCACTGTCTTAATCACCAGTTCCATTGGCTTAGGAAAAACAACAACCCCCAAACCAAAACAAACACCGAATAGCTAAAGTATCTCCCAAAGAAAACACAACAAGCTCTGTAATCAACAACTAAGTTTCTTTTCTTGCTTTAGAAAAATTTAAAGTGTGCCACAAGGCTCAAAATAAAGAAACAAACTAGGTTTTATAGTATTCAACTTCTCTAAAAGTTAGAAGACTCTCACCTGAGTGCATAAGTATAGCCAGTGTTCTCTGGAACACATTGGGGAGGGGTATACGTGTGGAGACGTGAAAAATCCATGGCCACTGTTTCAAATCATACTGTAAGAAGGTGAAAATATAGTGCTATAACAGTTTAGAAGGCAGAGAAGGAAGAGCTCTTGCATGGTTCAGCCTGTTTCAGGACACTGAAAATGGTGCTGGAGGCAGGGTGGAGATCCTGCCTCTCACTCACCCCCAATCAGAAATAATATACTTTAAAAAAAAAAGACTGCTGGTGTTAGATACTCCTTATCAGAAGTTGCACAAACCGAAATACTTCCTCTTATGAAGACATTTCCAAAAGCCTATGTTATTCACCAAGTTTCCTGAACTGCTATAATAAAATATACCAAACTGTGGCTGTAACTATATCACTATGTTGGATTATTCAGTACATGTTATTACTAGATGGAACTGAATTGAAACACTAAGAATAATTTGCAATACCTGCAATTAAGTACTATGAATCCTTTACAGTACCTACCTTGATAGGGTCCAGAAAAGTATTGCTGCACAAATAAAAACTTTTCATATTTTTAAGGTTTTGAGATCTACAACCCAAACAGACACGTCAACAAAAAGGGATGAACTTTATATAAGGAAAAACTGTTTTCTTTCAAAGGTTCATTTTGTGCTGTTGGAAAGAAGGCAGTGAATACGTCTGGCTTGGCCAGTGTTTTTAAAGGGACAGCCCTGTTTTGCTGGGATTGGTCCAACTAATTGCATGGGGGAAAAAACAAAGATGCTTATGCACATACTCCAGAGGATGATCACAGCCACGAATCTGTGACTCTGAAATCTAGTGGTAGATCTGAATCACTGGAACTTGTTTCAACCAGAATTTCTTAGTGAGCCAATTTGAAAGACTGGATAGAGATTTAACTAGATTTGCTCACCTAGCTGTGCTTTGGGCATATTTTTGAAGCAAAATCCCAAATCAGGTGAAGTATTTTTGTTATTGTATGCAGTGGTAAAGTCCACTGTTCATGAAAAATCCCAGAGGGACATGCAAACCCTTTGAATTGCTTGACGTAGTTCTTCGGATTCCAGTCATAAATTAACACACACATCTAACAAAATCCAGAACACCCCCCCCCATTTTAAGTAAAAACCAAACACCTAGGGGGAAACTAGTTTGAAAACTAAGGCTAACTGAAATATTAAGCAAACATTCTCACTATTTAATACTGCAACTCAAGTAACAACAAGGAAAGCCTTTTCACAAGAACAATGTAACAAAAGCCTTTTGTCATTTGGGAATTGCAGCCCTTAGACTTCCTAGGAAAAGTTATCTTCAAAGTTAACCTCAACAAATATAATCTGCTTTAAATATAACGTCTTGCACACATTCCACCTGTGGTGTATATTAGATGCACACCAAGACTTCTGTTGCAACATGTTCCATATAAAACTGCAGTAATAACTGGTATAGTACCATACTTTGGTGCATGCTTGGGAGAGAGAGAGAGGGAGAGAAAAGAGGGAGCAAAAATATTTTGGGTCCTCTATTGAATTTTCATTTTTTCAAAGAAAATTAAAAATTTTCTAATTTGCAGACAGACACACACACCCAAATCCAAGTAGGCAGTATGTACTGGAGTCCAATCCACTAAATTTAATTCCAAAATACAAAACTCCTGTCACCTCAACAGGAACAAAGACACTTAACTTTGAACAGATTATGCCCACCTCCCTAACATGAAAAAAGAAGAGACCTGTTTTTTGGTTGGCATCTTAAAAAGAATTACACTCATATGGGTATTGGAATGCTTAAGGCCAACATAGTTTTATTTTTCTTACACAATAACACAGATAAGTATCAGCCCTGCAGGATGGATTAAAATCAATGATTTAAAAAATAAATAAAAAACAAACATTTTTTCATTTAAATCAAATTTGTTTTGATTAAATGCTTTTGGAGTTCAAAACTATCTAGTTTTATAGTTCAAAGGTTGTCAGCATGAAATAGAATTTAGTTATGTAGCATGAAGCTATATATTCATGAAATATTTGCATTTTTAGTAAACTAATTCAATTAATCCAAGTTATCCAAGATGAGATAACATGTACTTTTTCACAGAAAAATTGTATACAATTAACAAAATTCAGGAAAATACTTTAATCCCATTGTTGTTCTGCAAATTTATGCACAAAGAATGAAAACATTAATGTTCATGCAAATATAAGAATATTTATGCTATATGTCATTGTTTTGATTAAATAAAACAATTTAAGTAGTTTTCCTAATATGAATGATTAATATATTCAACTAAAATCTGTTCCGATATAGCTGTTTTACTAATCTGACAGGTTATTATTCTAAATATGAAATCTTTATCTGGTTGCAAATACTAAAGATTATAACTAACATCCAGAATGAGTATTCACATTTAAAAATCATGATTTAAATTGAGTCTTACTGATTAGTGACTTAAATCATGATTTAAATCAGCTTGATTTGAATCAAATCCACCTTGCAGCCCTCCAAAGTTTGCCATGGAGACTTGTAGGATTCTGTGCTGATTTTTTCCTAGAAAGCATGCCACAACATGCAAGAAAATGGCAGGAAATGTGTTTTTCCAGAACAAGACAGCTCAGTAGTTTAGGCATCTGGATGTGGAGCCAGAGGTTGGGAGTTTGATTCCCCACTTTGCCTCCTTGACAGAGGCTGGACTTGATGATCTATAGGATTCCTTAGATGATTACAATGACACAAATGATAGTAAAGGGCTGTCAGGCCCTTTTATTATAATTGTAAGAAAAATTACTCAGCTACTGACACATTAAAATATTTTTGATCTGTCCTGTAGCAACATGTTGAAGATCAACAAATTGATTAGTTAAAAAGTAGCATTCCTCTTTGTAGTTCTAATTTGTCATCAGAGGCAGAGGTGTTCACTCCCATTTCTAAAACCAGCACCTCATAGTGGAAAGGGTGTGATATCTAATTGTCATTCAAACTGGGATACTGCCAAACACACCCAGGAACATAGCAAGCCTCACTGTGGTCTAAGCTGGCGTTCTATCAGGCCATCACACGAGAAACATATACACAGCGTGAGAATGGGTCCAAAATATAATGCCTCTGCTACAGGGTTTAATTAACTGTGATTTGGTTTAGAACCAAGATGCTCAGAATCATGCGAAATACTTGAGAAAGGTGATCACAAGTGCCACATGTGTTAGGCTGCTGAATACACTGCCCCAAGAAGTCAGGTGGATCCTTCCCTTATCAGGCAGAGATGTTCCTCAACAGGCAGGTTTTTAAGCAGTAAATTGCCTCAGGAATGCTGGTTTTTAATTTATAGATTTCTAAATGTTTTGAATGGTTTTAAATTTTAATATAGATTTGTTTTTAAATGTGCCATTCATATGGTATTTTAAATGTGTGTTTTATAGTTTTATTTCTTGTACACCGGCTTGGGTTCCCTATGAGGAGAAAGCTGGCATATAAATAAAATACAATAAAATTAAACTTGTCTCCATGTACAGGTCAGTGACTCTATCAACAATTTTGACAAATCTTGTGCAATTCTTGTACTCTTTACTATTAACAAATACTTTAGAAGGGCACATACAGAGCTTTGCCTGCATGAATAGAAACAAACTGAAATATTTGTTTAAAACTTCAACTGATAGTATGCATATCCCTTCTTCATATTGTCATTATTAGATGTTACAATTCTAATTTCTAGCAGAGAGACTAAAATCCCCCCTTTAAATGTATTAGTCTCTTTCAGCTGATGAAATATGAAAAAGCTTTTGCAGAAGAAATCTTCATTTTTATGGGATCACATCACACAGAAATGTATTAATTAAAAAAACATTCAAAATAAATTCTTGATTTTTCTAATGGCAGATGTATTGGGGAATAATTTAAAAAGAGCCTGCAAAGAAACAACACATCACAACACAGTCCAGAACTATTCTAGTTCAGATGCTATGGTTCCCAGATCACAAATTTAGTCAGCAATCAGTACTCATGTGCCTGTCTTGCTTTCTCTCTCCTCCTTTCTCTCCTTCCTGGCTAATATGAACTATGCTTACATTTGAACACAACCCTTTTATGCTTAACTCAGTATGAAATTAATAATTCTGATTTCAATCTCTGGTACGTATGAAGGAACACTTAAGGTTACTAGTATGTACTAGTAGTTCAGATGAAAAGCTAAACAATAGTTAATGTTGGCCAGGAAGGAGAAGGGAGTGGAGAATAGGCATTTGAGCTCATTGGCTTTTTCCCACTGCTTGAGTGGTTTGGTGATTGTGCAGCATATTACTTTAACCAGACCAGCATAGGATGATTGTAAACAACCGCACAGCTGCATAGTAAAAGGCTAGCGATGCTGGAAACAAATCAGAAACCTGGTTTTGTCTACAGTGACATCCTCCCCCCAGGGCCCAAACAGAGCTAAGAGACACTGTTACTTAGCAAGCAACATTGCCATCAACAGATCTAATTTAGACCTGGCTGCTCAACAGCTGTCGTCATCTTCCTGGAACCCACATATGAAATGTTAGACTGCTAGGGAAGGAGTTTTAATAGACACAAACACTAGCACTAGAATGAATACAGACTGAGTTCTACAGGAACTAGGAACATAGCTGCATATACCCCACAATCCCCCTCCTGGTCAGAGATGAGCTGTTCAATCATTAGGATTCTTGTCCTACACTAGGCCTCTGGAAAGTTTTCAAGAACCAAAAACTAATTTCCCCCCCTTTGGAATGTTCTGGCACTTTTATGAGAGAAAGGCTCACAAGATTGCTGGAAACTCCAAGAGGCACTTCATCCTTCTTTTGTGAAAATGGTTTGTGGCCATCCTAAAAATGTGTCCTAGTGAAGAATTAATACATAAAGCTAAATAAATAGCAGCTCTCTAGATTAAATGGGAAATAATCTTGGGGGATTTAAATAAACCAACCTCTGACCTAAAGGCATAAGAAAAAGACAAGTGGATTCCCATCTGCTGTGGATAGAGTAACTTTAAGAACACAGAAATATGGCTGGAGGATGAAGAAACCCTGTCTGATGTTAAACAGCCCAAGTGTTTTCAAGGAAAGAAATGTCTCTTAGGAGCTGAGCTCTTAGCTGAACCTTTTTGGAGAAATGTTAAAAGATCTAGCACACAGGCAGGAGTAGATTAACGCCTTTTTTTTCTTGGCTGACTTCATACCATAAATCTTACGAGCAATACTCTGTGTCTCACGGGAATTTGCATTAAAAGAAAGAAATTAAAACAAGACAAAAGATCAACAATAGATTGGGCTGTGACAGAGGAAGAGAAAGATCAAGAACAGTCAAGACTTCATAGTCTTGAGTTCCATTAAATCTAAGATTCTTAGTCTCCTTCGTTAGGTGAAGTCACTACTGTGATTGTCACCTGGAGGGCCTGGGTCTTGCACAGCACATTTCCTGTAAGGGTAGGTGGAAGAAAAAAAGATTCAAAACAGCTGTTAGCCACTGTACAAAAAGTGAATCTATCACTTAGGTCATCTGGAATCTGGAATAGCAATTGGAAAAGAAAACTGGAAAGGTATCTGATTAATTTCTTGCTAATAGTTGTGTGGCATGTGACTTGTCTCAAGGAGAGACAAGAGGGCCTTCTTAAATGAACAATGCAAAGAAATAGAGGAAGATAACAGAAAAGGAAAGACCAGAGATCTGTTCAGGAAAATTGGACATATTAGAGGAACATTTTGCGCAAAGATGAACATGATAAAAGACAAAAATGGGAGGGACCTAACAGAAGCAGAAGACGTCAAGAAGAGGTGGCAAGAATACACAGAGGAATTATATCAGAAAGATTTGGATATCCTGGACAACCCAGACAATGTAGTTGCTGACCTTGAGCCAGACATCCTGGAGAGCGAAGTCAAGTGGGCCTTAGAAAGCCTGGCTAACAACAAGGCCAGTGGAGGTGATGGCATTCCAATTGAACTATTTAAAATCTTGAAAGATGATGCTGTTAAGGTGCTACATTCAATATGCCAGCAAGTTTGGAAAACTCAACAATGGCCAGAGGATTGGAAACTTTTGCAGTCTGATCTCAAACCTTTGAGAACTCCCAAGTTCATCTGGCAGGTCTTAATGCCAATCAAGTAATTTCTTTAAAGGACCAGTATCAATGGATTAGGTTGGCTCACATCTATCATGAGCCATATGTATAGAGCTCTTGCAGTTCTATCCACCTATCTATGATATGCACTGACATCAGTAAATAGAATCAGAGAACCTTTGAACCTCGAAGGAGTGTAAAATTAATGGTTATGTTATGTTACGCTGATAACCCTCATAATCTTAATGTTAATTTGTTTCTGCTCAGCTTTCCTCACATAAACCTTACTTCATTTGTTTAGCCCATCATGTATTGTTGCAGTTTTGTACAGAAGTTCTCTGCCAACCTCCATCTGATGAGAGTCTATTACAGCATCTTGTTAATCTGTGTTATGCATAAAAAGACTGTGCCCTGTAGGTGATACCACTCTGCAGGACAGAGGACCCTTGGTTTAGTTTCTGTACAGTAGGAAACCCTTAATAAGCAAGCTAGTCCCAGTCAAATCTACAAAGGCTATGAATCTTGCAGCTACAAAGTATCTGATACTGTCTCCAAGCTTTTCATCTGAAGCTCAGGGTTTCAAGCAGTTGAATGTGAGGTCTAGAATGACCTTTCAATCCCCATTCTTCTTGGGGTCCACTAACAAGCAAGGAGAATATATCAGAAAATTTTTCTAATGCAAACTGCAGTTAATGGCAGCTTTGGAAAACACATGGTCTTTTTAGGAATAATGTGTTCAGCTTCCACCTGGAGTCTCTAAGGAGAGGAACAAGTGACACACTACAAATTTATTCTTACTGAAATGAACAGTACAGCCAAGAAGTTTTGCTCCTCTTGAAGACAAAGGCAGAAAATGAATATGGGAGGCAAAACCTTGCTCAGAAAAGGCGTCAAGTCTTTTTGTTTTGTCTTCAGAACAAACAGGTTATTCCTCCCTGCTTGTTCATCTGTCTGGTGACAAAGAATTATTTGGCAGCACGGAGCACAGGAAGTTCACCCCAAAAGTAAACTGATCTGACAAATGCTACCAAAAATTGTATCATTTCTCTTGCATTACTCTATGGAGGACGGTAGTGCAGTTTTACATGCAGAGGAGAAACATAAGCATTATAAGTACTGTAAACATGTGCCATCTTCCACAAGTATGCAAGATGGCCCAGTCTCATGAACAGCTGTATGTCCACAAAGCCCCTTTCACACTTTCCTCAGAGGTCAGAGGTGGGGACAGAAGTCTGTGCCAACCTCTTCTCTTCATACACTGAGTGGTAGTGAAATTGAGAACAGAGATATTGTTCAATACTTCAATCAGTTAAGAAGCAGTATCATAAGTTATGCCAATAAAAGTAGCCATGTAAATATCTAAACATGTTTTTTAAATATTATATAAAAATCAGTTGCAATCCTCTGTGCTGAACATTGATATCAAGTTAGTCTCAAGCTTTCACTTTTGTGTGTGTGTGTGTGTGTGTGATATCAAATTAGTCTCAAGCTTTCACTTTTGTGTGTGGGGGTAAAAACAGTTTAAAAAAACGCACACAATCTATCTACAATCAGATTAGTCTCAAGCTTTCACTTTTGTGTGTGGGGGTAAAAACAACAGTTAAAAACGCACACAATCTATCTACAATCAGACTGTTTCTGTCTTTTTTCATCCCACATTCCCCTACATGGGCTTGGGTGATAGGTCAAGAGTGGTCAAAATAAGTACCCAGTCTTTTCAAACACAATGAAGTAGCACAATGTTGTTGATGAAACTCATATATGATATGTCAGAGCTGCTGTAACTCGTAATGAATTCAGAACCATGGACATCCTTTTCCTTTACCTCACCAGTTGTTGAAACTGTGTGTGTAGCCATTAGCACAGCTGAATAGACATTTCTCTTTACTTTCACTTTTGATAAGAAAAGGGAATTGGAGCAATATAACAAACATTCACAGAAAATGTTTAGATGATACTATCACAAAAGAAAAGAAACATAATAGCTACCAATAATATGCAAAGGAGTAACAGGCAGTAAAATGGGTCCCTGTTTTAGAATGTAAAGGGACAGTATTACTGATTAATCATAATTAGAAAATATCTAACCAACTGATTTAGAAATAATACCTGCTATTCAAAAGCACTTTTTAAAAATCTGTTATTTTCCAAGCTATAATATGCAAAATATGTACAGTTCCAAACCACTTCTCAAAATAAACTGAGCTATGAACTCTTCCACTGCAACAAACTGAAATACAGTTAACCCAGGGAGTAACAAGACAGTTTACAAGTGGAAAAAACTTTGCTGGTATCTCAGGAACTTACATGCTAACTAAATATATGTGATTTAAATTCTCTTAGAGGGAGTATCTAACACCGTGCAACTCCACATGCTGCCCCCATGCTGCTGATGTAAAACAGGCTGGAAAAGCAAAGAGCATCAAGCAAATAACGTAAGGAATATAACACTTAATGCAAAAGATTAGCACAATATTTCAGAACACAGTAAAAATCATATGGGAAAACTGGATATCTTGACAAACATCTGTTTCTAGCATACAGTATTTACTGCAAGCTTTCTCTGTAATATTATTTCAACTGCACCTGTCAAATGGAGCAATTATGACAATATTTTAAGAGTTTCCTATTTTACTCTCAACTTAAGAGGCACAATCAGTTATAATGCAGCTCATGGGATCTAGAACATATAAAAACACAAGAATATTTTATATATACTTCAGATAAAAAAAGACTAGTTTCACTTTTCAAGCTAGAAATCCTCCAATAGGGCAGTGATTTAAAAATCCAGCTAAACTTGTTTTATACATGAACTGAACCAGGCCCACATTTACTAAAAGACAAATAACGACGCAAAACACCCTAAACTGAACAAACAAGTTAGCTCCCTGCTATGAAAAACTCATGTTGCTCAGTTATGTTCCAAATTTATCAGACCTACACAACTGATCAGGAAATAGCTGCAGAGATACACCTTCAAACCTGGATCTTTTCAAAATGCAGCATCATTCAGTCCATATAGGAAGGAGAAATCAGAAATCATTCTTCAGTTCAGCACTGTATTCCAGAACTGAGCAGTCTTCTGACTAATAATTCAAAACAAGTTTGAGTTGACAGCACATTATTTCTATTCCACGCTGCAGAATCCCAAAATGGCTTCCCAGCCTCAACAAAGCCTGAAGGATCAGACTAATCTAATCCAGCCTCTTAAAGCTCCCATTGTCAGTCAGAGGCAGGCTTTGAATTTATTGGACGAAGCTACTTTAGCCAGCCTACAACATTTAACCCCTTAATGCCCTCCATGGTGAAAAACCTTTCTGCCAGTGTTTTATTTATAGCTGCTGGTTTCCATGGGACTATAAAATCTCACCTTTTAAAATAGCTTTTTAGCAACTAGAAGCTATAACTGTACAGCAGCCCCCACTCCAATACTATGCTTTCCTTTTTTCCCTAGGCAACCAGAAGGACACACAACAACAGGCTTTATGAAGTTAAAAAAAAAAGAATAAAGAAAAGCCACGGTAGGGAGATGAACCAGGCTCCTCTGCTTTTTATAGAATAATTTAACCTCCTACTCTGGAAACCTGTGAACTGGAACTCTATAAAGACTTTGTTGTACTGTCACATAAATTTAAATTTTATAGTTGTCTACTGCCATATTGCCTGAATGTGTGTTGTTATGTGGGTGTTTTAAGATTTAACTTATAAACTGCCCAGAGTAGTGCTTTCACTTATGGGGTGGTATATAAATCATGGAATACTCCAAGTACATAATGTTTCCAGAGCCCCAGAAATCTTGAAAACTCAAGTCCATCAACTTCAACTAACACTATTTTATGCCTCCACTCCATTGTTGGACCACCCCCATAACGCCCTACCTCCTGTCCTTCTCTTACTACCTTTGGGATCCTTCACCCTTCGATTCTATTGTATCAAAAAGATGGAGTCAAGGGCTGATTCCCCCAACAGTAATCAATATATAAATAAGGCACAAGAACTACTATATTTGCCTGACATTGTATTCGTAAGGGTCAGAGAATGATTGTCAAGATTTCTAATGGCAGGAAATCTCTTCTACATCAGCGAGGCTGCCATGAATGCCCAAGGCACTGCAAAGGGTTCTGGGATATATTCTAAGGCACACAGGGTGACAGTCAAGTCTGTCAGTCCATCAGCATCTGGAGACCCGTGTTTTGGAACTAATGACCTAGAAAACAATGTTTTCAGCTTGGCTAGTGCACCTGACCAACAGTGCCAGAGCAGTACAGAAAATAGTGAAGTCCTCTTCTGTGGCTGCCTCTACACACCAATGTACAGAGCAGTACAGAAAATAGTGAAGTCTTCTGTGGCTGCCTCTACACACCAATGTTTGAACAGAAACTCCAACCCCACCTCAGTGGATTATAGTAATATTCTTTGTCTTAAAAGCCAATTACAAAACATTTAAAGAATGGGATCATGTTTAAATATTATTGCTTAATGTTCCTTGTCTTTAAAAGCCAATTACAAAACATTTAAAGAATGGGATCATGTTTAAATATTATTGCTTATTATTGCTTTAATAAACGGTTGCTTGGGTAATACATTTGAAAGCTAGGGATTCCTCTTCTCTTCATTAGTTACATCTCTGTAGCTCACATGTCCATGTGCACAAATTTGCACTTGGATGAACTACTCTGGGGATTAATCATCAGATTCCAGCAATTTAAAGGCAATTCTTAAATAAAACATAAAAAACCAGAAAGAAAACAAGTAGTCTCTAACTTATTTTCTAATCTAGCCATTAAAACTGAGTAGTAACAAACTACATAAGACCTGCAAAAATGTCAACTGCTATGACTTTATTTTCTTGGAGTCCCAAAGTTCCTGAGATGTAGAGACAAACCGATTGTGCACCAGTAATGCTTAGACAAACCAGTGGTAATAAGCAACTTCCCCAACCAAAATGGCAGGGCCATAAAACAAGGCCACTCTAAGTTGAAGTGCTGTCTGAAAGGGGGCACCATAAATGTCATGGGAACAGAGTATTTTGGCTCGAATGAAGCGTTGGTCTGATCCAGCACTATAATTCTCATGTTCATGTTAGAGCAAGAAGTCATATATGGTTGGAGTGTTTTTCAACTCCCAATAAGGGAACACAATCTCCAAAAAACATCAAGACGTTTGTTAAATGTTTTCTAGGTTTGTTTAAAAGGTAAAGGTTCCCCTTGACAAAGGTTTTCTAGTTTTGTTTAAAAGGTAAAGGTTCCCCTTGACAATTTGCCCAATTGTGTCCGACTCTAGGGTATGGTGCTCATCCATGTTTCCAAGCCATTGAGACAGTACTTGTCCATATAGTTTCCGTGGTCACGTGGCCAGCGTGACTAGACACGGAACACCGTTACCTTCCCGCTGTGGTGGTACCTATTTATCTACTCACATTTTACATACTTTTGAACTGCTAGGTTATCAGGAGCTGGGACAAGCGATGGGAGCTCACTCCCTCGCGTGGATTCAAACTGCTGATCTTTCAACCTTGCAGCCCAGAGGCTTAACCCGCAGCGCCACCACGTCCCAGTTTTGTTTAGCACTTGATTTTTTTTAAAAAAAAATTGTTCCAAATCTGATCATAGAGTACACAATCTGTAATATCCCCAACAAGATACTTCAGGAACAAATCTTCCTGACTCCTGTTCATTCCCCTCCCTTTTTATAAAGTCATCAAAGAAGGCAAGACATATGTCAAAGGATTCACAAAAATGGTCAACATTATGTGGGTAAATTCTTACTTTGAAAGACATGAAAAATTTGACATGAGTCATAACATTTCTCAAATGCACAGAGAAAACAGAAGAGTTAAGAACAAAATGTTTTGCTTTTTTATCAATTGGTTCTGCAGCAGGAATTAGCAACTCTTCTATATACCCTCTCTTCGGCGAGTTTGGAATTGTACATTTCCTTCATTTCATCTACAGACAAGAGATATCAACAGGTGAGATTTGCAAGGATTCATGCTTCCAACAAGGCCACATTGGGTTGAATATAACTCACTTGCCTTTCAAACAGGGCTTTATGTGCTATGTGCATATATACTAACTGTACACATACCAACTGTACACACTCATATATTTTGCTGGGTGTGCATGCATGAAAACCCTCTATGAATTACAGCTTCTTAATGTGTCTATACAGCAAAATGATTTGATTCTTGGAATAATAATAAACATGCTGTCTCTATGTACTATCATACTGGTTTCTGAACGCTAGGATATGGAGTTGTTCACCATGCATCTGAGGGGGAAAATAAATATGAGAAGTATATTTTGTTTTTGGTGATATTTTCTGCCCTGCGAAGCTACCAGAAGTAGCAGTTTCCCCTTTAAACAACACCCCCTCATCAAAATCAAAGCCTGAGAATTTCTGGTTTTGATATTAGAAGTAATTTTGTTACAATTTCAATGTATGGTACAGCTCTCCACCCCAACAGTATCGGTCAACAGGCCCATTAAAGTTGCCTAGCCCTGCTATGCGTGTGCATGCACACAGACACAGAGAAACAGAGAAAAGAGAGAGAGAGAGAGGTGGTGATGATGATAGCAGTGGTGATGTTCATACTCTTTGGATATAACTAAATGTCCTATAAAAATTCAAGAAAATATTCCAATAAATAGGTCAGTCTTTTCTCACTTAACATTTTTGTCCTCTAATTCTGTTAACAACCTGTCTGGATTTAATGTGTTTTGGCTTCCAGATCAGCAACTACACTTTATTTTCAATTTTAATGTCATTCTGGCATCAGCATGTTCTAGCCTGTATTGTCAACAGCTTTAACTCTTTGGCCTAGGCTACAGTATCAACAAGTGTATAACTATATTTTATATCCATGTAAGCATACTAGTATCAGAGAAAATGCAAAAAGATAAATGTTACCACCACCCCCACATACCCCCATATCATGGTAGAACAATGCTACTGGCACTAAGTCCAAAGAATACAACATCTTCAGAGCTATTTTACAGATTTAATCCACTACTGCCAACAGTATTGTAATTCCAACAATAACAGAATGGAATACAGCTGTAAACATTACCATGTGTTTCCTACATTCATGCAGCCATAAAACTTTCCTTGAATGATACAAATAACCAAGAATATCCAGCAAGATGCCAACCCTGAGCAGTTGCACCAATGCAGCTGACCAGGACATCTTTTTCGTTTGAAAATGTCTCAACCCAGATACAGCACACTGTTTATTTACCAGCTGTCTGATAGAAACCCTCAAAAGATTCTGGAGCAAGAACCACAATAGGGATGGAACAGAGAACTGTGTTGTTCTTTTGTGGACAGGGCACTTCTCTGCCAAGGAGACAGAAGGCACCAGCTGCTGCTTAAGCAGTACTCCATTAAAATCCGGTGAGCTTGGATTATCCTTGCAGGACTAACTGTTCCACATTCTCACATGAGGGAGTGTCTGCAAACAGGATATATTTATTGTTTTTTCTGGACTTCCTGCTCTTTTATTATATATATTCTGAGGAATGGAAAGCCAATCAAGCCAATAAAAGGCTATCCATGTGTTTCTGTAACTAATACCAGTACTAAAAATCATTATTTTACTGAATTGTTAATTTATTTCTGCTTATTTCCTGTTTCCTACAATGTGGTCTACCTGAAGTTCCTGAAATTAAGGTGTCCCTTAAATAAAGTGTATGGAATTTATTTCATCTCCATCAACATCCAATTTTTTAAAACTGTCATAGATATAGCCTTCTTAAGGCAGGTAACAGTGTAATAACTACTCTATAAAGTATTTTATAACTCTTCTACTTTTAGCTGGATGCTAAAATCTAGTCTGAGCAAAACATTTCATACTGTTACATTTCATACTATTCTTGGAAAATGGATAGGCTCAAACTTTTGTGAATCTCCAGTGAAGATAATCTTAAAGTTAGGAAGTAGTCAAGAATGTTTTTCTCAAGCACATATGCAGACCTGATTTAATGTATCTCTCATAAACATTGTGGTGAGGGTAAACGCAGCCACAGGAGGACGAATTGTTTTTATTCAGACAGTTTATCCACCTAATTTTCTACCTGTTAAATGATAGCAGGTCTTCCAGTTTCAGGCACACGTCCTTCCTAACCTTAACTGGGATTTTATGCTTAAACCTGGGATTTTTGTTCCTGCAAAATGT